CCGGATAAAATTTTTTTTTTTTTTTTTTTTTTATAGATATTTTCCAGAATAGTGAGGGAGAAAGAGCGGGGCATAATAAAAGCTTCACTCCGAAAATTAACTCAGAAAGCGGGGACAGAGGGATTCACGCCGTTGAATGTTTTTTCATCCAACGGCTCACAATATGCGAACGTGGAAGCGTTCTGGCCATGAGAAATTAGGGAAATCAAAGGTATTAGTTAAGGGAACGTGTAGGGTTTTAAGTCGTTGGATGGGATATGAATCAGACGACCAGGATTGGATGTTGGGTGTAGGCTTGGGAGTGGGGAAGAAGGGTTTCGTACTCTTCAGAGGTGTTAAAACAGACCAGCCCAATACAACTCTTCATGGCCCATTATTCGGCCCAGCCCATTCAACAGTCTCTCTTCTCTGTTTCCAAATTCGGCCCAGCCCATTCAACAGTCTCTCTTCTCTGTTTCCAAATTCGGCCCAGCCCATTCAACAGTCTCTCTTCTCTGTTTCCAACTTCGGCCCAGCCCATTCAACAGTCTCTCTTCTCTGTTTCCAAATTCGGCCCAGCCCATTCAACAGTCTCTCTTCTCTGTTTCCAACTTCGGCCCAGCCCATTCAACAGTCTCTCCTGTTTTGTCATTTCAAGTTTGAAAGAAAGTTGATGGAATAGAAGAATAGGGGACCCGAGCTTCTCATTGCCCTTTCATTGTCTATGTTTATTCTTCCTCATGATCATTTATGTTCGGTGTCCATTAGTAATATTCGTTGGAATCAACTACTACAATTCTGATGCCAAAAGAATGAAAGATTATTGCAATCATCGCCGCCATCGTTGGATGACGTCGTTGCGGCGCAACTATTTCAGCACGCCATGGCTCTGTGCTTCCTCCATTGCAGCCATCCTGCTCCTTGCCCTCACTCTTATACAAACCATCCTGGCAGTATTCACTGGATTCAAAGAATGTTCTTAATTGGATCTAATTCAAATGATGTTTTTCTGAGTTTAGAATTCAACAACTTTTCGGTAAGTGGAAAGATTCCAAATCATTTTGTTTAACCATATGTTCAACTTGCATCTATTAAATTTATATTTATTGCCCATCCTCCTTTTTAACTGAAATGAGAAAGGAAGAAACTAATTTATAAATAAGTAATTAAAAAAAATAAAAAAGGAGAGAAAGGAAGAAGGTGTTGGTAGCAAATGGAGATGAGGGAAGAAAAGAAGCAAAGGGTATTTAAACTGAAATAAATGAATGGGTAAGCAAAGTATATATCAACTACGTGGGAGAGTGATTGACTACCACTCGTAGAAAAATTTCTTTCTTTGAACTATGTAAATCTTTGTGTCTCTCTGTTCATTTATGTTCGTGGGTATGTGAGTACGCTCGTTTTTGCTTCCACTTCCACTACAACATTTATACTTCCATGTGATCATTTATGTTAGGCCCCATCATAGTATATTTGGTTATCAGAGGACCTATTGTCTTATTGTCGTTTTAATTGACCTATGTTGACTCTCCACGTGATGATGTTAGCCCTACCCGCCCATCACTAGTTGATATATACGTTGTTAGCCATTCATTCACTCATCTTCATTTGCTACCAGCACCTTCTTCCATCAATTTGCAGGCAAGGTACTTCTTCCTTTCTATCCTTTTTTATCCTTTTTTTTATTTTTATTTTTTATTACTTATTTATAAATTAGTTTCTTTAAGTTGGATTTGAAACCCCAACCATTCCTATTCCTATGTATATTCAGTTAGTTTCTGAAGTATATATGCATTGCTCTTTGTTCAAGCAGATTTTCAGAAAATGTGGATATTTTCTGCATACTTTTTGAAGTATATATATAAATATTTAATACGAAACACCCATTTAGAGTCCACGATGTTCGTGTTGGCAGAGCGAAGAACCAAAGCCCAAGTATCATTTTATTGTAAAGCTCGAATTTCTTCATCTATTGTAGCAACCCAAGCAGGATTCTTAGTCGCAGATTTAAATACTTTTGGCTCAGTGGATGTAAGGAGTAGAAAAAAGTTCAGATGAGGCAAAAATACTAAGATTTGTTGGATGACGAGTCTTGAATATACCAGGTTTGGCTCGTGTGATCCTAGGATGAGAGCCTAAAGAAGAGGAATCAACAGTAGGTTTAATCAACATTAGGTTCAACAGGTTTGGTGCTATGTTTCATCAGCTGCAAGTCATCCTCGAGTCTCAGTTCACGAGCTTTCGAATGATGGCTGAACGTAGTTTGCAACGCAAACCAAACATCACGTGCAATGGAGAGACCAACGACGACAACAATGTCTTCCTTGGTGAGAGAGGAGAGCTGAAGATAGAGAAGTCGTTGATCAAATGCTCACCACGCCAAATATTTGGGGTTGAGAGTTGAGGAAGTTTCTGGTTCAAAGAGAGTTGGTGGAACCATAGTTCCATCAACATAGGCCAGCAGTTGGCTTTTCCAAAGAAGATAATTGGAGGAAGAAAGTTTGATCAGATGATGATATGGATTAGAGCGTTGAAAGGAAGAAGATGATAAAGGATTTGGAAAAGAAAATGTCTGCGGTGGTGATATTTGCTTGCCTTATAATAAAGGGTAGCACCATTATTCTTACACCCAATCTAACCCAAAAAACACTCATATTGTCCACTTTGAGTCCAAACTCTCATGACTTTGGTTTGAACTTTCTCAAAACGTCTCATACTAATGGAGATAATATTATTCACTTATAAATCTATGATCTTCCACTGAATTAACCAATGTGGGACCCACTCCCAATAATGATCAACAATCGCTACCTGCTTATATTTATCTTACAATGCTTATATTTGTCGATATTTTACTTCATGATCACGAGTATGTTTCTTAAATTGGTTCCAAGGGTATTTTTTAAAATAAAGTAATAATCAAAGTATATTTTTAAACCTTTTTAATTAATTTAATATAGTATTTTATAATTAATTTGAAAATTATATTTTTATCCCAACTTACAAATTGTGGATTGGTATAAATAGGGATGAATATGTTGGTGAAGGCATTGCAAACCAGACTCCATAGAACCCTTCTACCACTGCTCTTTGTTTCTAGTTTCCTTGTTGTTTCTCCTCAGTTCAAAATGGAGCCCTGCGGCTGTCCCAACACAAATGAGAAGAGTCGAGCAGCAATAGAAAATGAACCTGGTACTTCTAATCCTGCAGTAGTATACATTAATCGTATTCTTCAACAATCTGTTTCATCCTGTTTTTCCGACGATACCATTTTCAAGGTTCCAGAACCTCTGCGCAGCGTCAACCCAGAAGCTTATACGCCCACTGTCATCTCTATCGGTCCTTTTCACTCCGATAGAAAAGATCTTAAAGCTAATTTACTCAAACCCATGTACCTTCGACACTTGTTTAATCTCAGCCACCTCTCCGTGAACACGATTGTAGAAACAGTCCAGACTTTGGAACAAAGAGTACGCTGCTGTTACACAGAATCCATCGAGATGAACAGGGATGAATTTGTGAAACTTCTGGTCTTGGATGCCTGTTTCGTGGTCATGCATCTCATCAGTTGGCAGAACCCAAAGTTGGATATCCCAAACGCGGCGTATTTATGGCAATCCTGGTATGAAATATTTGTTGATCTGATGCTGCTTGAAAACCAGCTTCCCTTCTTCCTTCTCCAATCGTTATACGACCTCTTCGCCCCCTCTCAACCTTTACTAGAACATAAGAGTTTCATTCAAATTGTTCAAGATTATTTCTCAGGACACAATAACTCAGAGTTGATTCTTATCGATATCGAAAGTTCGGCTGAGAACGTGAATCATTTTGTTGATTTAGTAAGAATGCGTAAAACTGATATGGTTTTCAATAGAACGATCATCCAAGGCCTAGTTTGGCCACCGAGTGCCACCGAGCTTCACGAATGCGGCGTTATTTTCAGTACAGGGATTGACATAAAATTTAATGACCAAAGTGGGTGTCTACAACTGCTGCCAATCAACATAGACAACACTTTTGAAAAGCGTGTGAAGAACATTATAGCTTATGAGCAACACCATATTCACATGAACATATGGAACGAGGTAAGCAACTTTGCTTTGTTTATGACGTCGTTGGTCCAGACAGACCAAGACGTGAAATTGCTGATTGAGGGAGGGATCATACAGAACGAACTGGGTAGTATCAAAGATGTTACCCAATTATTCTACAACCTCGGTAAGTACATCAACATTGGATTCAACTCCTACAATTCTGATTGCCAAAAAATGAAAGATTATTGCAAGCGCCGCCGCCATCGTTGGATGACGTCGTTGCGGCGCAACTATTTCAGCACGCCATGGCTCTGTGCTTCCACCATTGCAGCCATCCTCCTCCTTGCCCTCACTCTTATACAGACCATCGTGGCTGTACTTACTGGATTCAAAAAAAGTTCTTAATCGGATCCAATTCTAATGATGCTGTTCGGAGTTCAGAATTCAACTACATCTGAGTTCGTTGGGAGTAAACATTTTAACCGTTGTGTTCAAGTTGGGTCTATTAAATTTATATTCAAAGCTTGTACCATTTTTAACTTATGTGACAACTCTATCTATTTTTTTTCATAACTATGTGAAACAAAAACAAAAATAATTATAATCACAAATAAATCCAAGAATTTGAGGAAAAAAATAAATAAATCTCTAGATTGTGTTGGTTTAAAATTAGTATACATTTTTCCTATAAATCTTTAATTTATTACCTTACATCAAAATTATAATTGTTTGTGGTTACTTCTCTTGCACTTCAAAATACATCACAAAAGATGAGGGGAACATAAAGAACCCCTCTCCCCATTTTTATTTTATTTTTTATTTTTTATTTTTATTTTTACTTTTTATTTTAATTTTTACTTTTTCAAATAATCCTATGTTAATTTGAGAGGGAGGAGAACCATAGGCTTGGGTTCTTATTTTCTTCCAAGAAGACTCTTCCTTTCTTCCCTCATTTTCGTTTCCCACCAACATCTTCTTTCATCAAGTCTGAGACAATTGAGAGAAATTTTGTAAGTATGATAGTGTCATAATATGAGAGATATAATTGTAAACACTTTGGTTATAGTGATTGACTACTACCGGTAGATTTTGAAGAATTTCTTTTCTTTGAACAATGTAAATCTTTGTGTCTTTTTGTTCGTTTATGTTCGTGGGTAGGTGAGTACGATAGCTCTTGCTTCCACTTCCACTACAATATGATCATTTATGTCAAGCCCATCGTAATATACCTTGGTTATCAAAAGCTTGTCTTCATATTTCTTCCACTTCCCATACCTTTCTCTTCCTACTCCACGAATGTCTAACAATATGATAGAAATAAATTAGAGGCGGAACAACTTTATGGTAATGTTGTCATATTCATCGAAAAATAATGGAACAACTACTTCCTATTATCGAGTTTACATATAATTTGATCAACAAAAAAAATTAAAATGCACAATAGTTTTATAGCATAATTCATGATTAAAGACGCATACCCATAGTTATTTATGTTTGACTGTTGAGGATGGTTGGGAGAGAATTCCACATTGACTAATTTAGGGATATATTCTCCATGAGATATTTTGAGAAGCTCAAAGCAAAGTCATGAGAACTTATGCTCAAAGCGGATAATATCATACTATTATAGAGAGTCGTGATTTATTACAATTTAATAGAGTGTATGTGACCCGATATTCTTAGTGGTAAGAAGATATTTATGAGATGCGTACAAGCTTAAATAAATTGTGATTGGAGAGGAGGAAGGACTACAAGTATGATGCATATGAAGAATGTCTTGTTCAATCATTTGAAATAGAGGACCCATTGCCTAATTGTCGTTTCAATTGATATATGTTGACTCTCCCACGTGATATCACTAGCTTATTTAGTTAGTTTCAATTACAAATAATGATATCACTAGTTTAAATATCCTTTGCTTCATTTCTTCCCCGTTCTTCATTGGCTACCAACACCTTTATTAAGGATATTTAGTAATAAATTATAGTTTACCATATATTATATTTGATATTTTATTATAAGGCAAATATCTAATATTTGCCTTATTATCATAGGTATCTTTCCATTCATTTGATTATAAATAAGATAACTTTCACACCATTTAGGTGTGGTGGATTAATCAAATATTCACAACCTTCCTCCATCAATTTGCAGTCAAGGTACTTCTTCCTTTCTCTCCTCCTTTTTATTTTTATTTTTTATTACTTATTTATAAATGAGTTTTTTTGAGTGGTAAAATATTCATTATTTGGTTAGTTTCTAAAGTATATATGCATTGCTCTTTGCTCGAGCTGATTTGAAAACGTGGATGTTACCGGTTCAAATGGAAAATAATTACATTGGATTTTATCAAGCAAACGACATATTTTACAATATGGCAGAGATTCACGAGGTTCACCAAATTTGTGGAAATATTGTGATGTCCCTAAAAAATAAGTTGGAACAACTTCCTCCGGTTAAGGAAGAACCTAGCATCTATCAAGTTCCCTAACTGTTACGCGAGATGAATAATAAAACCTATATCCCTCAAGTCATTTCCATCGGTCCATTTCACCATCGTAGTCCAGATTTGATAACCACATAGCCATATAAGGTTCAAGGTCTTAATAACTTTGTAAGTCGTCTGAATAATAAGATGAGATGTATAAATAATCCGATGAACGCACTAGAGTTTCTTGTGACAATTGCTCGACATTGGGTGGAAGAAGGTCGAAATTGCTATTTGGAACCCATAAGCATGAATGACGAGAATTTTGTTGAAATGATGATTGTGGATAGTTGTTTCATAGTGGAGTTTTTGATACTATATTATGGCCGATACCAACCGGATCCCTTCCCTACCATTTCAAGCAATGTAGATTATTCATTCTACAAAAGAATCCCTGATATAGATCTTGATTTGATTAAGTTAGAAAATCAAATCCCTTTCTCGGTTCTTGAACGTATGTTTAAACTTATACTAGAAGATGATACCCCCATCTCCGTTATAGAGCTTGCATACGTGTTTTTGCAACATGGATTGATACATCCATATGAACTTTCTACTCCCTTGTTCGAGAACACCAAAACACTTCGTTGATTTCTTAAGCTTGTACTTTGTTGTTTCCAAGGGGTCTTCTGTGATCAACATTTGAGCATTTTTTTTCTCAGCAAATGAGAGCAAGTGTATCCAATATATCACATTCATGGATTATTTGATAAGCACCGAGGAAGACATAAGTTTACTTGAGAATGTCGAAATCATAATCAACGATATTGGAGGCAGTGCTAAAGAAATTTCAAAACTGTTTAACGATCTCTGTAAATTTGCCACAGTCCTACATAGTACCCACTTCAACAAAATTAGTATTGGTTTAAATGAGCACTGCAATAGACGTTGGAACAGAGCGAAAGCTAAAATGAGCACTGCAATAGACGTTGGAATGGAGTGAAAGCTACACTTAGACATGACTATTTTTATACACCATGGGCTTCTATTGCTACTTCGGGTGCTATCTTGGTCATTATTATGACCCTCCTTCAAACTATATTTCGTGGTATATCTGCCTTTCCTAAATAGTCTAACTCTATCCATCCATATAATATATGTATGTTTTTCTTTCTCTTCGTATCAGGTTAAAGGTTATCCTTATATTTACCGATTTTTTTTTTTAATAAACAAATATATTATATTTATGAATTGTTACCTTGCCTTTACGAATTTTTTTTTATTTTATTATATATAGTTTAATGGCGTATCAAATATTGAATGGAGTGAATTCTCCTTCCACTATTATATGTGCTAAGATAAGACATTTTTGCACTGTTATATCTTACACAAATGTTACTAATGGTTTTTATTCACAAATCTTGTTTTAATTTGAAATGGTAAATTAATAATCCATGGTAAAAATTTTAAATATAAGGATAATATTGAATTAATAAACAATAAAGAGCACATTAAAACATTATTATTTGACATTGACATATACACGTAAAATGGGCAGTCTAGTCTTTATCTATGGGTCCATGCAAGGAATTGGTGTCTCATGGGTGCCAATTCAACTTTGCCCACCTCTCATATTTAATGTGGAGATTTTTTTTTTTTTCTTCGATTGAGAATTGTTTTTAAACTTAAGAAATAATAGATTCGTCAATGCAACAAAATATGGAAGGTCAAGAATTTTATTTTGAGGTTATATAAAACAAGTAATGTTATATTTGTAAAGAAGACATGATCGATCTTATTTGTGGAGTGATTTGAATTTTACACAACAAATGTTTTTACATTGAGATATTTAATCAACAACCTAACCCAAATCTTTCTATTGTAGTGATTAACTTTTCCTTGTGTTTGATTATTTATTGAAGTTTCTCGTGAAAACTACTCAAATTTAAATGAAAGAAACTCGAAATTTCTATACAGAATCAATAAATATGAACTAAGAGGATTTCTTTAAAATGGTACGTTTAGAGATCGTTTCCTAACGAAGGTTTAATAAAAATTAAAGATATTAGTAAGACAAAATAATGGAGAATGAGAGATGTTTGGTATGAACGAGGATCATTTATGTACTTTTTAATTTTAGATGAAAACTATTAATAATTTAATTGAAAAAGTTTCCACAAACCATCTTTATTCGAGGAAATTTAAAAGTGTGGGCTTATCGGTCCAAATTGAAAAATAGTCATACCCGTGTTTATCAAGCAAACGACATACCTTACAATATAACATAAATTAGTGAGATTGAACAATTTTGTGGTAACTTTGTAATCAAATGACTATCTAGTTTTAAAACGTATTTACTAGGGAGAAGTTTCCACACTTTTATAAGGAATGTCTCTCTAACTGGGCCAGACCTCATAATCTACTGCTCGGTGTCGGACTCTAATACTATTTATTACAACCCAAGTCCATTGCTAGTCGATATTATTCATTTTGACCTGTTACGTATTGTCGCAAGTAAGATGCATTTTAAAATCAAGAGGTTGTCGATGATTATATAACGATCTAAAATAGACAATATTAACTAGATGCATTCAAAGAGAATTGTTTTCAAACTTGGAAATAATTTATATTAACTTTTTAAGGTATATATGTATTTCAATCAAGCAATATTAATGGCGGCGTATTAAGAAGAATCAAACTTCATTTATAACAACAAAAGATTTAAGATACTTCAAGCCGGATTTCATTTAATCTTATATGGTTACAAATTTATGATGTATAATTAAAAATTAGATTTATGGTGTTTTAAAGTTTTAAGACTTTTTATTTGTTTTTAAGTTACATTTACATCGTGACTAATTATAGTTATAAAGTATGAATGTTAAATACTCATGAAATGCTTCGTGGAAAATCAAGAATTTCATTTTGAGGCAATAATAAAGTCATGTACGTTATATTTGTAAGGGAAACTTAGAAAATGCAGTAGAAAGAGCATTTGTGTTTTTTTTAGTCAATGACTAAATTTCTTTATAATTTTATGTAGTTTAGATTTTATGTTCAAAATTATTCAAGTTTGACACGATCAATCTTACTTTTGTAGTGATTCGAATCTCAAACAAGTGTTCTTGCCTTAATTTATTTGATCAACAAATTAATCCAAATCTTTATTCCCTTGTAGTGATTTCTTATCATTTGGTATCGAAACTTTCTGTTGGATTTGATTCCTTATCAAAGTTCCTCGTAAAAACTACGAAAGAAACCCAAAATTGTTATGAAGAAACTGTAAATATAAACGAAGAGAATTTCTTAACGGAGTTTTAATAGAGTCTTGGTGACTAATAAAATTAAAGATATCATGAGACGAGAGTGAGAGATGTTTGGGTATGAACGTAATAGTAAGAAGAGATTTATGAGATACCAACCCAACTTAAATAAATTGTCCTTTTCAATTTTAATTTTGGAAAAATAAAATTCAACATTGTCGTCAAAAACCAATAAAATTAAAAACATTAGTAGGAAGAAGACAAATCTACTTGAAGTTAAGTGTGTAATGAACATTACACAATTATGGGATGAAGGAGAACCACAAGTTCGAAAGAAAGTAGATGGAAGTTAGGAGTGGGTCTTAAATGGTTATCAGTAGAGGACCTGTTGTCTTATTGTCGTTTTAATTGACCGATGTTGACTCTCCACGTGATAATGTTAGCCCTACCCGCCCATCACTAGTTGATATATACTTTGGTTAACTTGGCTTAGCCATTCATTCACTCATTTTCATTTGCTACCAGCACCTTCTTCCATCAATTTGCAGCCAGGGTACTTCTTCCTTTCTCTCCTTTTTTTTATTTTTATTTTTTATTACTTATTTATAAATTAGTTTCTTCTGCTCGTTCAAGCTCATTTGGAAACGTTGATATTTTTCAGTTCAAACGACATACCTTACAATATGGTAGAAATTCATGAAGTTGAACAAATTTGTGGAAATGTTATGATGTCTATAAGAGATAGACTGAAACGACGACCTCCTGTTAATAGAGAACCTAACATCTATCGAGTTCCCAAACTGCTACGCGAGATGAATAATAAAGCCTATATCCCTCAAGTCATTTCCATCGGTCCATTTTACCATCGTAGTCCAGATTTGATAACCACAGAACACTATAAAGTTCAAGGCCTTAATAACTTTCTAATTCGTCTGAGTAATAAGATGGAATGCTTGAATAACCCGAGGAATCCATTAGAGGTCCTTGTGAGAAATACTCAAAGTTATGTGGAAGAATATCGAAATTGCTATGCTGAACCCATCAACATGAATGACAAGGATTTTATTGAAATGATGATCGTGGATGGTGGTTTTATAGTGGAGTTTTTGATACTATATTATGGCCAATACAAACCAAATGTCTTTCCTACCCTTTCAAGCAACGTAGATTATTCATTCTACAAAAGAATCCCTGATATAGATCTTGATTTGATTAAGTTAGAAAATCAAATCCCTTTCTCTGTTCTTGAACGTATGTTTAAACTTATACTAGAAGATGATACCTCCCTCTCCATTATACATCTTGCATACGTGTTTTTGCAACATGGATTGATACATCCATATGAACTTTCTACTCCTTTGCCGAGAACATCGAATCACTTCGTCGATTTCTTAAGCTTGTACTTTGTTGTTCCCAAGGAGTCTTCTGTGATCAACATTGATGAAACCGATTTTCCTATTCCTCCATCAATAACTAAGCTCTGCCAGGCCGGTATCATCATCAAGAAAGCAGAAGATGCCAAATTTGTGATGGACCTTAGCTTTAAAAATGGAGTTTTCAAAATTCCACCTTTACATATCGATGATAACTTTGAAACCATGATTCGAAACTTGATAGCATTTGAGCAAATTTCCTTAGCAAAGGAGAGCAAGTGTACCCAATATATCACATTCATGGATTATTTGATAAGCACAGAGGAAGACGTGAATTTACTTGAGAATGCCGGAATTATAATCAACGATATTGGAGGCAGTGCTAAAGAAGTTTCAAAACTGTTTAACGATCTCTGTAAATTTGCCACAGTCCCATATGATACCCACTTCAACTATATCAGTGCTGGCTTAAATGAGCACTGCAATAGACGTTGGAACAACGCAAAAGCTATACTCAAACGTGATTATTTTTATACACCATGGGCTTGTGTCGCTGCTTTTGGTGCTATCTCTGTTATTATTCTGGCCTTCCTTCAAACTATATTTACTGGTATATCTACATTTCAGAAATAGTCAACTCTATCCATGTATTTTATTTTTTAATTTTGCTCGATTACTCCTTTACCTTGTAAATGTTATCCTTGTATTTACCAATGTTCTTTTTAAAAATAAAAAATATGTTATATTTGTATCTGTTACCCTACCTTTACTAATCATTTATAATTTGTATTTATTATATTTTTATATATATATATATATCTTCCTTCACATTGTTTTCCATAGAAGAAGCAAAATAGAATGGTAGGAGTCCCTGAAATAAAATTATATACATATAATTTAATGACATTCAATATGGTTAAGATAAGACATTTTTATTTATTTTTAGGTTACATCTATATCGCAACTAATTATGATCATAAAGTATGAATGTTACAAACTCTTGAAACGATTCCGGAAATGTTAAGAGTTTCATTTCGAGGGTATATAAACTCATTTGTAAGAAAAACTTAGAAAATGCAGTAAAAACAACATTTGTGCTTTATTTAGTCAATGATTAAATTTTTTTACAATTCTATGTAGCTCAAATGGCATGTTTAGAATCATTCAAGTTAAACATGATCGATCTTATTTGTAGTGTGATTCGAACCTCAAACAAATATTCTTATTTTGAGATATTTGATCAATAAAATAATCTAACTGATAGTAATTTCTTATACCTAAACTTAACACCATACAAAATAATGGAGAGTGAGAGATGTTTGGGTACGTAGGTAGTACAAAGACGACATTTATGAGATACCGACAAAATTGTCCACTGGTTTGTGTTAGGATTCCAGAGTTTAAATGCACTTAGTTTTGGTAGATTTAAAACGTGCTGTGTATAATGTCTTCAAAACCAATAAAATTAAAAACATTAGTACGAAGAAGACAAGTCTAGCTGAGGAACAATTGTGGGATGAAGGAGAACCAGGAAAGTAGATGAAAATTAAAAGTGGGTCTTAAATGGTTAGAAAATAGTCAGACTGATGTTGATCAGGCAAATGACAAACCATACAATATGCCAGGAATTAGTGAAGGTGAAGAAGGTGAACAACCTCGTCGTAATGTTATTGTAGAATGTAGCATCTTTTGAGTTCTTAAACTGTTACGTAGTATGAATCATAGAGTCTATACCCCTCAAGTCATTTCTATAGGTCCATTTCACCATCATCGAAAGGATTTGTTAGCCACTGAGCCATATAAGCTTCGACGTTGTTCGAACTTTCTAAGCCGTCTAGGTAACGAGAGAGATTCATTGGAGTTGCTTAAGAAAAATACTCAAACTTGGATGAAAGAAGTTCGAAATTGGTATGCATAGCACATAAACATGAATGATAAGGAATTTGGTAACATGATGATTGTGGATGGTCGTTTCCTAGTAGAGTTTTTGATACAACATCATAACCGACACTGCCCAAATACATGCTTCCAAACTCCAAACAATTTAGATCTTACCTTCCACCAAAGATTTATCGAGCTATTTACTGATTTGATTATGTTGGAAAATCGAGTCCCTTTCTTCCTTCTTGAACGTTTGTTCTACCTTATACTAAATACCATCTCCATCTCCTTTGTATACTTAACCTATATGTTTTTTAAACTCGAACTTGTTGACAATTATTCTCTTTCTGATCTATCGTCGATAAAACCAAAGTACTTCTTTGATTTGTTAAGCTTCTACTTCGTTGTCTCTAAGACATCTCTAGAGAACAATAATAATAATAGCCCGATAACTCCTCCATCGATAACTGAGCTTCACGAGGCTGGTGTCACCATTAAGAAAGCAGAAAATGCTGAATGTGCAATGAACCTAAGCTTCCAAAATGGGATTTTCACAATCCCACAATCCCACCTTTTAACCGTTGATGATTTCTTCGAACACACCATGCAAAATCTAATAGCATTTGAGCATTTTCCCTTGGAAAATGAAAGCAAGCGTATCCAATATATCGCATTCATGGATGATTTGATAAGAAAGGAGAAATATTTTAATTTACTTGTGAAAGCTGGAATCATAATCAACAAGATTGGAGATAGTGATAAAGAAGTTTCAAACTTGTTTAACAATCTCTGCAAATTTGTTGAACAACCATGTGATGGCGAGTTCAACAATATCAGCAAAGCTTTGCATAAGCATTGTGATAGACGATGAAACAAGGCACGAGCTTCACTTAAACATAGCTATTGTAATACGCGATGGGCTATTGTCTCCTTCTTTGGTGCAACCTTGCTTATTATTCTAACTCTCTCTCAAACTAAAGAATGTACCCTTTATCAAGTTCCTAGAGTCTATCCTATTCATGTCATTTCCATTCGCCCATTACATCATCGTAGTCAAAAAGATTTAATAGTTACAGAACCGTGTAAGCATCAACATTGTATTGACTTTCTAAATTGTCTAGATAATAAGATAAGCTCATTAGAATTTTTCGTGAAAATCGTTCAAACTTGAGTGAAAGAAGCCCAAAATTACTATGCATAACCCATAGACATGAGCGAGGATGATTTTGTAACAATAATGCCTTGTGGATGGTTGTTTCGTTGTTGAGTTTTTGATACTATATTATGTCCAATACTGCCTAAATGCATTCTCCCGAACACAAAACGACTTAGATCTTTTCTTATATCAAGGAACCCACGAGATATATACTGATTTGCTTATGTTGAAACTATATCAATACATCACTAGTTATTATTTACTTTGGTGTAACGTTGATCCATTCAAATTATATTCTTTGTTATATCTGCATTTTCTAACTTAAATGTTTATCTTGAAGTTATTAATATTTTTTAAATAAACATTACGTTAGTCAGTTAATGAATACGAAAATTTCTAATTGCATTTTTCATACAATTTTCATTCATTCATTTTTTTTTTACTTCAATTTTCTCTCTCCTCTTAATTATTTTAAATAATTTTAGATAATTAATTATTTAATTTTTATCCACAAAATGTGTTCTAGAAGCTTTTGAATTTATTAAGCAGTCAATAGTAATAATTATTTTCATAATTGCAAATAATTAGAATCAATTGTAATAATTATTCTCATAATTATAAATAATTATTATAATAATAAAATTGAAGAAATAAGTAGAGATTATTTTATACAATTATGATAAAAAAAAATTATGAACAGGTAAAAAATATAATGAAAAAAATACATAAAAAACTTTTTACAATGTTAATTTTTATTTTTAATTAAATTATAAATTTAACTTATCAACTTAATATTTGTATCGGTTTAGTTTTTAAACTTTTAAAATTCACAAATACACTCGATACTAAATTTAATTTAACCATTTTTATAGTTTTCATACATAAAATTTTAATTTATATCTAATAAAAATATTTATTTATTTTTTTGTTTAATCTTCAACTTTTTAACACAAATAGATCATAATATCATTATTGGTTATAGTTAAAGCCACTTTAGTAAAAAGGTGCTTTATAAAAGCAAATGCTTTTATGTCCAAAAATTTTAAAGGATTTTAATTTTTATTCAAAACTAGTTTTTAGTTTTTCTTTCTTATTTTGTAAATAAAACCAATGTTTCACCCGCAACACGTCGAAAATTTGGTTAAGCTGACATACTCATAACGATAAACTCTCTATTGAATATATGCACGTGAAGACATTTAATGTTACATATTCATAACTCTTTGATACTCATAACGATAACTATTACACGATATGCCCATCCCTTTAAACAAATGGTCAAATCATAAATTTGAAGGAGAGTTGATAGAAAAGAATGGTGGGTGGAATAATTAATAATAGAAGCTTGCCTTCTTATTTTAGTTTATATATAAATATATATGTATGGTGTTTCATTTTAAAGGGAGAATAGTTTGATTGGAGTTCATCACGCAAATGACATATCATACCATAGGACAGAAATTAGTGAAGTTAAACAATTTTGTGGTAATGTTGTAATATCATAAAAAAAATGATGGAACAATTACCTCTGGTTAATGAAGAATGTAGCATCTTTCGAGTTCATAAACTATTACGCAAGATGAATAATATAGCCTATATCCCTCAAGTCATTTCCATAGATCCATTTCATCATCATAGTCAAAAGGATTTGATAGCTACCGAACAATATAAGCTTCGATATTGTATTAATTTTCTAAATCGTTTGGATAACAAGATAGACTCATTAGAATTCCTTGTGAAAACTACTCAAAGTTGGATGAAAGAAGCTCGAAATTGCTATGAAGAACCCATAAACATGAGCGATGAAGATTTCATTCAAATGATGTTGGTGGATAGTTGTTGTGTAGTGGAGTTTTTGATATTGTATTATGTCGAACAACACCGAAATTCCTCACCTCAAACTCGAGACTATTTCAATCTTTACTTCTACCAAAGGGAACATGAGATATGTCTTGATTCGATTAAGCTAGAAAATCAAGTCCCTTTCTTTGTTCTTGAATGTTTGTTCCACCTTATACCACAAAGTGATGACCGCTTCGTCCATATCAACAAAACCTTACATAAGCACTGCAATAGACGATGGAACAAAGCAAAAGCTTCACTCAAACCCAACTATTTCAATACATCATGGGCTATATTCGGTACTATATCTGCATTTCATAGCTAGCCAAATCTATCTATATAATATAGATATGTTTCTTTTAAATTTACTATGTTGCTCCTTACTGTGTTATATGCTATCTTTATATTTTCTAATGTTTTCTAATAAACATTATGTTATATTTAAAACTGTGAGACTAACAGTAATACAGGCAAAAACAGACAATATATACTCACGATCAAGCATACATTCTTAACTTTAACCTCTATAAAGACATTTTTTTCATAACATGGAAAAGAAACATAATGCTTTATTAAAAAGTGCTTTTACAAATGCTTGTATATTCAAATTCAAAGAAATAAAGGGAAGGAGAGAAAACTTCAAAAACTTTAACCCATTTATAAACGAGTTCTTAACTTTACATTCTTCTTTCGAATAGCTGACCATTACAATTATCACAAAAATATTATCGACCCAAATTTGATTAAGTACAATTTTAAATTGTCATATTTTCATGTAATTCTTAGCCTACAAGTATCATTTTAAAAAAATATTATATTACAAACTACATGTTTTAGAAGATTCCAGTTATCCGACACAATATCATTAAAAGATAAAAGAATCCTTTATCGAGTAGAATGACAATAAGACGTTAAGTTGGCCTCAAACAAAAAATTAGTAAATTTATTATGATCGACAGCGTTTAAAATAACTTTTTAAATTCTTATAAAAAATATTTTTATCAGATAACATAAATAAATAAATAAATGGGAGCAAAAGAAACTCCATTTTAGGGCCATATGCATGAAGTAACATGAAGAATAAATATGTTTGTGTTACTACTTTTTGACCAATTCACAATCTAAAATACATTCTGAAAAGATCAACGAAGGGAAGCATAAAGAACCCCTCTCCCCAATTTTATTTTATTTTTTATTTTTTATTTTATTTTTTACTTTCAAAAGCTATGGAATCCTATGTTAATTTCTTTTTCCTCCTAAATCCGTATTTAAAATAAAAATCCAATCTCTAAATAAACTTCCAAATTATTTTAAACCTTAAAAATGTCAATTTTATGTCGAATAAAATGTCAAAGAATTATAGACATAAATAATTTAATTTCAAAATTTTAATATTATTATGATTGTGAGTGGGATTAAATTCTATTTTAATGATTAATATTAATTAGTCAAAAGAGAACCCGATCCGTTAATCCAAGGTAAAGCCAATGGTTTTGTGGTAATTATATGATTAATTAGAGAGGGTTTAGCGAAGTATATATTTTATTTCATTAGTTAATTAAGTTATTTAATAATAAATAAAATAAAATAAAATAGTTGATCAAATTTTAACCTAAAGTATTAATATGATGTGAGGGAAAGATGTTTTCAAAGAGTTCGAATTAATTTCATTTAAAAATATTTAAATTAACATCATTCCTTTAAAAAATAATGTAAATTTTGTATTACTAAATATTAAGTCTATATTAGTGACGTGTTTATTGTAATAAAATAATAAAGTGATTTATTATTAGAAAATTAATTCGAGGCAAGCACATAACATAAAGTGATTAATATAATATAAATTAGAAAATTGGATACAAAGTATTTTCCTGCATGCATGCATAAATCCACCCTTAAATCACTTTTGAAACTGAAAAATGAAGAAAACGAAACGACGACGTTTTGATATCATTGGAAACTCTCTTCTTTCTAGCTAGAATTTGATCCTTCCATTGCCACCACCTGTAAATTGCAAAATATTCCCAAAATAATAATATTAATAACTAATTAAACCCGAGAAAGAGTTTAGGGATCCATTTATAAATATGGTATTTTGTTTCTAGAAATTAATTAATTACCTCTACGAGTACGAGTATGGAGATGTGTTGTTTGAATCTCTTAGTGCATTACATCTGAAGCATTCCCTTCTATTGGCAAAGTTATGTTCGTTGCAATCTGATCTGTAATTTTATTTATATTAAATATAAATGTTGTTTTGTAATATAATATATATTTAAATTAATTTTTGACTTTTTTTTAGTTTAAATAAATAGATATGGGATGAAAAAATAATAACCATAATTAAAAATAGACTAAATTTAAAAATATTGAAAGTGGTGGGGATGAAAATGGAATTTAGAGAAAAATTGGAAACCCTACCTGGAACAGATCCAATCACCAGATTTCCATCCAGGGCGGTTGGAGGCAGCGCCGAAGTTAAAGCCTCTCATTCTAGTAAAATCGCCGTCGTAAGCGGCGGCGGAGGCAGGGGAAGCGTCATCTTTAGAAGCGCCGCACTTGAAGCAGATAGAGCGGCTAGCGAAGTTATGAGCACCGCAGTTGGCGACGGCGCAGTACCAATCCCCAGGACGGACGTCGGGGCCGGTAGTGAAACCGAAGGACGAAGAACCAACTCTTCCGCCGTTGAAGTCAGCCCTAGGCTCGCCACAGCGCTGACAGGACTCCCGTCGTTGGAAGTTGAGATGGTGGCAAGACCTGCAATTCCAATCCCCCGGCCTGCTCATCCTGCTTCTTTGTATTCCCCTCCAAATTTAGTCCCAACCCTTAACGCCAAAAAACAAATGAACTCTAATTAACCGGAAAGCTTACCTTTTGCGTGAAGTTGATGCGGCGGCGGTTCGGTTTTAATGGCCTGATCACGTTTCTCTGACGAAACAGCCGGTGGTGGTGGGTTTTATACCGGTGAACTGCGATTTTTGTCCTTCTTTTTTTTTTTTCTCTCTTTTATTTTCTCGAGGATCGAGAAGAATCAAAACGAGGTTTGGGCTTTCAGTGGCAGTTTGGGGTTTTCCATTTTTTTTTTTTCTTCGTAATAATTCCATTATTATTTTCCTTAAATTTCATAATCCAAATCCAATGCACCAGAATTATACACATCAGCTTATTGGGTTGATGAAGAATTGGATAAGGAAGAACAAAAATTTATACTTTTTCAAATAGCAGACAAAATGAATATTCTAAATAAACCCATTTTGGGGACCCCACAATGAAATCCTTTTTATTTAAAAAAATAATTAAAAATTCCATAAATACGAAATAAGAGAGTTTCGATAAAGATAGTCGAAACTGATGATGGTGGGAGAGAAGAAGCTTTCGAGGAGTTTTAAATTTTTTGAATTTTGACCATCTTTTTCTTTCTTTTTTTCCTCTCTAATTTACTTTTTTCAATCACCCATTAATTCCTCTCTTCTTTTTTTTTTTTTCTTTTTTTTTCTCTTTATTTTACCTTCATTTTTTTAATTCTTTTGGGGCTGTGTTCTTGGGGAATGGTAAAGGAAAGCTGAAGCAAAGCAAAAATAAAGGCAATAGGAAGAAGGAAGGGTACTGATTCAATTCTCTCTCTTTCTCCCACTCTTTAATATTCTTTTTTTAATTTAATTTACAACTTCCATTAATAATCAATTTAATTTAGAGGGAAAAAAAAAAAAAAAAGCAAACAAGAACCTCACTTTTTTTTCAAGCTTTTTTTTTAATGGTTAATAAATATATTTTTTTTTTAAGGCAAACTAACATAATAGTTAGAATCAAATGGATAATTATTTATTTAACATGATTCCAAATATTCAATTAAATAATGTTAGCTTGAAATTTTTTGTTTTTTTTAATTATTTTTTTTTTAAAAAAAATGGGGAGTTGGGTTGTATGCACGTGAGGGGGGGCATGTGGCGTGGCGAACACGTATGTATAGGAATGGGAGTAAAACGTCATGAAAATGATAAAAGTTACCTCTTTTGTTCTACTTTTTAGTCCTCCAAAATCTTTTACTTTCCAACTCTTTACCTCTTTATTTATTTTTAAATTCACCCAATTTTCTATTTTTGTAAAACATTTAAATTAAAAAAAAAAATGATTGTGGGCTGTGAAATGCTTTATGCTTGGGCCATGGAAAATCAGTTGATGGGCTTGGCCCATTTCGTTTTAAATCTCAGTAGCCCAAAATACTACACTGGCCCATATTATCCCAGGCCCAACTATCCACGGATAAAATTCCCGTTATCTTTTGAAAATATCTTTACGTTCTTCTCTCACAATCTTGGCTCCGCCGCTCGCCCATCGCCCCTCGCTCCTCGCCCGCCTATTGGACAAACCATGGTTTTCAAATTAACGCTTATATTAACGCCTATTCTTCGATGTTTTTTATTATTTTGCCGGATTTTCGCTCTTCTCTTTACATGATTTCTCTTTTTCTTTCTGTTTTTTTTGATGTGTATGGATTAATAGTTTCCGTATAGTAAAGGAATGCTTCATTTTTTTATTTTGATCCGTCAATGATCTAAGGATGATCTTTATGGTGATTCTTTTCTTTGTAGCATATCATCGACCAGGCGGATTCCTTTTTGGCTTTTCATTTGTGTATAATGATTTTGTAATTCTTGGATTTCTTCTTATTTGTCAATAATCTATGTATTCAAATTTCTTTTTTTCAGAATTCATTGACAACATATTTCTAGTACAACCCAACTAGAGTGATTGCGAAGCAGCAACAACATGATTTACTGGGATTGAATTCCCTCCTTTTGTGTTTTCTTCTCCCAAGTTGAAATCTACAAATGTTGAATCAATTCTTCTCAAAAAGGTTCTTGATCATTGATAGCTGATACCATCGTTTCGTTTGGTTCTGTTACATATTATTTATCATATACTTTTGAATACATACAAACGTTCTTCTGAAAAATACTGCAAATGATAGCTCACAATATTCAGTTGCACAAATCTATAGTTCCACAAAATGACAATTATAACATCTATGTGAACAAATATAATTTCCACTAAATCACGAAATCACAATTAAGACATGTAAATCACTTTAAATAAATTATCTCCCACCTCATAATGTTAGTTTATGCATACGTTTGCCTTTACATTTCTTCGAGTTTAAATATTAAAAAAAATATAGGTATAAGTAAAATATCTCTCTTCTATGAGAATTTTTTTTTAACCGTGGAATCTACGAAAAAGTTACATGTTAAAAAAATACAAAAAAAATTGTATATTGTTTGTGCAGATCAAATCCCGAATCTATTTATACTTGCTCTACTATTCTGACGAAAAATTACGGGGCGTAAAACAAAAAAATATGATGATTCGGATTAGATATACTATATTTAATTTATAATGGAACCCCCTACATCTCGATCGAAAAAGAATCGATAGAAAAAAAAAGAATCGGAATTGATCGATATATTTCTTGAAACAAACGAAAAGGAAACGAAAGACGAAGCGTAATTCCTCCTAGACAATAAAATATGTTGACGTGAGGAGAAACGTATTTGCTAGTTATATCATCTGCAATAGCCTTAATTTTAAGACCTTCCAACCAACTCCCTTCCCTCCCTCCTCCATCATTTATTACTAACACCTTTTTCCCTCTATTTTCTGGCAAGGTACTTCTTCCTCTCTCTCTCTCTTCTTTTTTTTTTTTTTCTTCCTTATATATAATTATTCGTTCACTCGGGTTTGAGAGCCCAACTAACTCCCGTTAATGCAAATTGTAGCATTTATAAAGTTTCGAACCAACTACGTGAGATGGATAATTCAGCCTACACCCCTCAAGTTATTTCCATCGGTCCATTTCATCATCGTAGTCGAAATAATTTAATAGTCACAGAACAATATAAGCTTCAAGGTCTTAGTAACTTTCTACATCGTCTAGATAACAAAATGAGTTCATTGGAGTTTCTAGTTAAAACTACTCAAGCCTTGATAAAAGAAGCCCGAAATTGCTATGCAGAACCTATAAACATGAGTAATCGAAGATTTTGTTAAGATGATGCTCGTAGATGGTTGTTTCATAGTGGAGTTCTTAATTCTATATTATAAACAATATGACCCGACCGCATTCTTTAAAATTCAAAACAATGTAGATCTTTCCTTCTACAAAAGAATTTCCCATATATATTGATTTGATTAAGCTTGAAAATCAAATCCGTTTCTTTCTTCTTCAACATTTGCTCAACCTCATACCACAAAACTATGCTCCCTTCTCGTTTATAGGACTGATATATGTGTTTTCACAACGTGGATTGATATATAATTATTCTCTTCCTAATGCCTTATCGATAAAACCAAAACACTTTGTTGATTTCTTAAACTTCTACTTTGTCGTGCCCACTATGTCTTTTGAACACACCATTAATAACGAGAAGATTATTAATCATCCATTGATAACTGAGCTTTGAGCTTTGTGAGGCCGGTGTCACCATAAAAAAAAAAGCTGAAAATGCCAAATATATAATGGATATAAGCTTCACAATTGGAGTTCTTGAAATTCCACCTTTGTATAGAGATGATTACTTTAAAACCATGATGCGAAATATGTATCCAATACGTGTCATTATTGGATTATTTGATATGCACAGAGAAAGACGTGAATTTCCTTGTGAGAGTCGGGATCATAATCAATGATATTGGAGGGAATGATAAAGAAGTTTCAGAATTGTTCAACAATCTCTGTAAATTTGTCATAGTCTCAGATTATTACCACTTCAACGATATCAACAAAGCTTTACGTAGATATTGCAATAGACTATGGAATAAGGCAAAAGCTTCACTCAAGCATAATTATTTGTAACCAAAATCATATATGGTATATTATATTTATCTTCTTTCATATAAATAGTATATTTTATTTACTTTAAAAAAAAAGTAATTAAAATACTTAGTACTAACACTTCAGTAAAAAGTATACTAATGAATACCTTAAAATTATTTTTTACCACGCTTAAATTTGTAATTTTTTTAGTTAGAAGTAATTTTTGGACATGATGGATTAAGAATTTACCTTCCCTGGACGCCTTCAAGCTTTGGATAGTTTTTAATTTCTAGTTTTATTTTTGTTTCTAAATCACCCAGCCTAGTTGAGTCCAATTTGTAAATATTAAAAAAAAAAAAAAGAAAAAAAAAAGAGGCGTTTCTATTGTTTGGTTAAATTCGTGGGCCGATTAATGCAGATCGTGGCTCAGCCGCTCAGGCCCAAATAGGCCACTAGTAATCCTCAGGCCCAAATAGGCCACCAGTAATCCTCAGGCCCAAATAGGCCACCAGTAATCCTCAGGCCTAAATAGGCCACCAGTAATCCTCAGGCCCAAATAGGCCACCAGTAATCCTCAGGCCCAAATAGGCCACCAGTAATCCTCAGGCCCAAATAGGCCATCAGTAATCCTCAGGCCCAAATAGGCCACCAGTAATCCTCAGGCCCAAATAGGCCACTAGTAATCCTCAGGCCCAAATAGGCCACTAGTAATCCTCAGGCCCAAATAGGCCACCAGTAATCCTCAGGCCCAAATATCCACGGATAGAATTCCCGCTATCTTTTAAAAATATCTCTACGTTCTCTTCGCACAATCGTGGCTCAGCCGCTCGCCCATTGCCCCTCGCTCCTCTCTCCTCTCTCCTCGCTCCTCGCTCCTCGCCCGCCTTCCTTATTATTCAACACAACAATTATTTTCATATTAACGCTCATATATTATGATCGGTTTCAATCCAAAATCAAAATAAAAAATCAGAGAATTGTTGTTAGGTGAAGAACAAAATTTATCTTTTATCAGGATGGATTCACCAAAAACTGTTCCACTTACTCCCACGTTGACCACCATCTCATCCACTGTAACTCTTCCCACTTCTCTGTCGGAATCTCCTTGGGTTTGTATTTTTTCTGTAACTCTTCCCACTTCTCTGTCGGAATCTCTCTGGGTTTGTATTTTTTCCTCAATGTTTCTCATTATACTGCCGGATTTTCGCTCCTCTTTGCATGATTTCTCTTTTTCTTTCTGTTCTTTGATGTGTATGGATTGGCCGTTCTTTTTTCTATTTTGATCCGTCAATGATCTAAGGATGATCTTCATCGTGATTCTCAGACAGATTCATTTTTGGCTTTTCATTTATGTATAATGATATTGTAATTCGACAATTTCTACTTATATGACAATCATCTATGTATTCAAATTTCTTTTCTATTTCGAATTCAGGATTCTTTTTCAGAATTCGTCGACAACATACTTTTAGTAGAGCCCAACCAGAGCGATTATGGAGCAGCCACGGGATTTATTGAGGATGAATCCCCTCCTCTTGTATTTTCTTCTCCAGAGTTGAATGCGGAAAATGTTGATTCAATGATTTCGAAAAGGTTCTTGATCATTGATCGTTGATACCATTATTCGGTTCCGTTCTACTATAAATTACTAATCGTATTTTTTATCCAGGACTCCCAATTTTGAGTCATCTAACACTGCACAAATTGAAGCCTACTGTAACACAGATCTTGTGGACGATATTTTGGCGGAGTTGCAAGAGGTCTGTATGTTAATTCTGTATACTCATTAAACAAATGTTTATGAGAACTTCAGCCTATTAAGATATGTGGATGCCATAATGAAGGTTGCTGGGACAAGCATAATCCAAGCTTTTTAATAAAGATGAACAAAATATTGAAGCAAATCTTGCACCTGAAGTTTGTGAAGAGCAGTCATCTTTTGAATTCTGTAGTAACCAATTTAATTTATCCACCTCACAGGCTTATAAGGAACAAGGGAATGAAGATTTATGTGAACAGGTAACTATTTGGTGTAGCCATTCATCCCAAAATACAAGTATTTTGAATTCTCTGCATAATCTTGTATGAACTGATCATGAACACTTGATGATGCAGGATGGTAGTGCTATCTATCAGGATTACTCAGATTTTGTGCCTCGATCTTTTAATGAACGGTTATGCAATGCTACTTCACATGGAGCCTATGAATGCAATAGCAATGATGCATTTTGGAGAGCTTTTCAGGTTCAATTTCATACTGATTGGATGCTTGATATGGAAATGATGAACAAAATTAACTTCTTTTTTTGGCTTAATTCAACTGATTTGAATCGATCAAATATAAAGAGATTTGAGTCTGAATGGTTTAGCTGTTGCTTGTCATTTGGTGATTTGAAGGATCTTCTATGCATTGGTGTCCTAGTTATGATACCTGAGTGCAGATGGCATGCATTGATTATGTCCCTTCAGATTTAAGTAGATATGTTACATTAGATAGATTAGACATATAGCACAATCTATATAAATGCAGTTCATATGGTGTTGTATCATAATATGTTTTGGAGTTTAGGATCTTCAAATCCAATAAATTCTCCACAATTTAATTTAATTCCCGTTTGATAATCATTTGTTTGGAAGAAAATTAAGCACAAAAACACCCACTTTTCCTTATTAATTTCTTTTATTATAAATGTTTTTATTGAAATATATTTGGGATACAATTAGATTTTCCGTTATATTTAAGAATTTGATATATTTATCTTACCTTCAAATTTGGTTATTAGTATATTTTATCTTATTTCTCGGATTGACTGCTTGTATCCTATCTAAATCTAATCTTGTGAACATTCATGAAAATGGGACTTTAGATCCCACTAGGACTTTAAATTCCAATAGGATTTTAGGTCCCATTGGACTTTCAAAATTAGACTAGATCTCACTGGAACTTTTTTATTTTATTTTTAGGATTTAGTTGACCGCTTGTATACTATTTAAATCTAATCTTGTGAACATTAATGGAAATTGGACTTTAGATCCCACCGAGACTTTAGGAAATTGGACTTTAGATCTCACTGGGACTTAAGGAAATTAGACTTTAGATCCCACTAGAACTTTAGGAAATTGGACTTTAGATTCCACTGGGACTGTAGAAATTGACTTTAGATCCCACTCAGACTTTAAATCCCACTTATGTTTCTCGGACTTTCAATCTCACTTTTGTTTCACATTCTTAACATGATATCAGAGCATTATTCTTAATAGCGTATAAAAAGGTTTCTCTTTTTTAACATGCTATCAAACCATTATTCTAAACTGTTTTCAAAATCAAAACCAAGTTTGCTCGTGTTTTGGAATTTTGTTAAGAATTCAACCAACAGGTTGGTCAACCCCTACACGGTATGCGTCAACGTTACCTTCAATCTAAAGAAGCTGCTGCCAGTGCTCCTCAAAACAATTTTCCTTCAAATTATACAATCAATGCTGAGATGACAACACAATATCCATGCTTGGTTGAGGACACAGAGCTCTCAGTTATGAACTTTGAAGCAACATTTAACAACAGAGTACCAGCAGCAGCCAATTCATCTCATTTGGTGCGAACACCACTACGTCCTACATCTGTTGGCAACCCTCTCTTGCAAGTTCCCAAGCCTTCAGGTATAGGGTTGCACCCAAATAGCGTCATTGATGTTGCAATGAAGAATCATGTCCCTATTACAAACTGCTCAGTACAGAACAGGCACGAAAACAAGGCCATTTCATTACCAAGTTCCTTCATTTTGGAGCCCTGCAATGCTGCTGTCAAAGCCGAGACATCTGAAACTCCATATGACACGAGAGATTTCAAGATCAGTAAAGTTCTTCCCAGAAGGAAAAGGAAGAAAAGCTCAGTCAATAACAATGGCGATGATGCAAAACGTTGCAGCTGCACAAAATCAAAGTGCTTGAAACTGTATTGCGATTGCTTTGCTGCTGGGATGTATTGTTCTGAGTCTTGTTCTTGTCAAGGATGCTTTAACAATCCAAAAAATTTACAAACTGTTCTTGAGACGAGGCATCAAATTGAAACCCGAGATCCACTTGCATTTGCTCCAACGGTTATCGAGGACCGTAATGAGCTTCCAGTAAATAATGTGAGTGGTAACATGAAATTTATTTTTTATCATTTTAGTTCACTCTAATAATAGCTGTTCATTATTGATTTTTCCACAGGAGAACGGAAGCCTATCGACTCCATCCTTAGCTAGACATAAAAAAGGTTGCAAATGCATAAAGTCTATGTGCTCGAAACAATATTGCGAATGCTTTCAGGTTTATTACCCATCTCTATGTAATTAGTTAAATTACATTTAATTCGTTCTTTCCATTTTAAAGAAATAGATCTCTATTGGTATGAGGCCTTCCCAAAAGGCCAAAGTAAAGCCATGAGAGTTATACTCAAAGTGGACAATATGATACTATTGTGGGGAGCCGATTCCTAGCAAAAAAAAAAAAAAAAAAAAAAAAA